GCACCTCCCCCTGCCTCCCCCCTGCAGTTGCAGCAGCACCTCCCCCTCCCCCCCCCTGCAGGTGCAGCAGCACCTCCCCCCTGCCTCCTCCCTGCAGGTGCAGTGTTTGGTGACTCTGCAGGACTCAGATGGAGCTCATCAGAGCAGAAACTGCTCGGCTGCTGCTCTTTTTGTGTCATTTAGCAGAAACTCTACCAAACTGATCAGCAGCATGCTCTCTGCTCCCCTGCTCTCTGCTCTGCTGTGACTCTCAGAGCAGAGCCGGTGTGTTGTGGGTCAAGTGGTGCTGCTCAGCCTGTTTGGATGCTCTGAAGGAGTTTTTTGTGTCTGAGGACAAACACTGATGATTTGGTTCAGAAGACATCGAGGACTTAACGAAACACATCACAGCAAAGCCTGAATCCCTGGGTTTAAATAATTTAAATTAATATATTTTTATTTAGAATGCTTATTTGAGCCCCGTTATGGACCAAATATCCTTTTTATATTGTTCTGCTGCACAAATTTCAGACTTGTGTCTTGAAGTCCCCATGGAGAGGTGGCCAGAAGTTTACATACAGACAGTTTATTTCATGAACAGCTGAGAGCACAAGTCGTGAACTTTTCTCAAACCCTCTCAGGGTTAATAATATGAGCTCAGATGTTTACATACAGACGTCTTTCAGGGAGTCCTCGACGGCAGGCAGCTGCTGGCTCCACTCTGGCTGATATTTGGCCACATCTCCTCACAGTTTGGTTTCCCGGCAAAAACCTGAACCTGAACATTTTGTATGAACTGGTTGGTCGCTCGGTGGTCAGAGCCGTGGGTTCAAGCCCAGGTTGCGTCTTGTAGCTTAAAACAATTACCAAATCTTTGATGTGAGTTCATTTGATTGACAACCCCTGCTGAAGGGAGCGGCCCCACAGCATGATGACACCACCACCATGTCTGACAGCTGGTACTGTGTTCTGATGTTTAAATGCCTCACTTTGACATGTTGTTGGGGACAAACTGGCTCCAACTTTGTGTCTTTGGACAGTAGAAGGTTTGTCCAGAAGGCTTTTGTCTTGGACTGATGCTCAACTCACCTCTCTGGGGATGGTGGCGCCAATGCTTCAGTGAAATTGTTTAGAAAATTGCTCCATGTTTTCTTTATTATTATTATTATTATTAGTTCACCTCCTCAAACCTTCACCAACTCTCTTGGACTTTGTCGTTGTCCAATCCAAAGAGTGCTGTCAAACAAACTGTGTATTCAAACACGTTCATGAAGAACGTCTGTGTATATTTGAGCCTGTATGTATACTTCTGAGCCTGAATTATTCCACCCTGGAAAAGAAAAGAACCATTTAAGAAATAATTCTGAAAGTAAGGTGACGCTCATCCCCATGCTGAGTTCACCTCTGTCTGCAGCTGTTTTTGTGCAACGTTCCTTTTGCTTATTAACATTTACTTTGACTGAACAACGTCCTGCACAGCCGAAGAACAAAACGACTTTAGGGCAAACGAACAAATTACAGGTTTTTTTTATGCTTTAGAGTAAAACTCTTGGTGATAAAGGTCAGTATTTGTGTTCCTGTTGGAGTTGAAACAAGGAATGAGATGATGTCTACAAATGATTGTCCATTTCTTCATGTTACTTTATAGAGTTTTTTAAATTTCAACTCTAGTTTCTGTTTATCTGAAGGAACTGAATTTAAGGGAAATGAGTGCAATTTAGCTGTCAGGGTGGAGAGTACCATGAAGCCCTTGTTGATTTAGTTTTAGACAATCCCTGCGTTGGTTATCAGCCCCTCTGTACATAATGTTTGTAGAAAATAAGAAGAGAAAATGGCCGACACGTGGCGTGAAGATAATAGATGACGGTCTGAGTTTTACAGAGAAACTTCCCTCTCTGCTGGTGACTGGAAGACAGACCATGTATAACTGTAGTGTTGACAGTTGTGTACTTAGAAACTTTATATTAAATGTGCATCAGATTCATATAAAGATGGAGATTATTTAAGAAGCTATTTATTTCTATAAAAAAAAAAGAGCGCTGTGTAAACTGTTGGCATGTTCGTGTTCATGCATCAATCATTACGTTGCCTTTTTAACTGTTCTGCTACTGTGGCAAAGCAAATCTAGATGTCTGAAGAGCTTCGATTGCCTGCAGGTTAATGAAACCTTTCATTCCAGCCGTCTGTTGTTGCACTATAGAGGAACAAATAAAAATCATGTTTATTACAAGTGTTGCTTTTCATGTTTCGCAGTGTTTGAAAAGAGAGAACGCACTTTTCTTTGCTCCCGGCCCGCTGGTTTATCAGACGGTTTCGGGATGTGAACTTTATTTGTTGAATCGTGAAGAAAAAGCTTTTCGAGATATTTTTATTTTCCTGCTTTCCTCCAACACAGCTCGTTCTGTTTTAATGCTTGTTGTGCTTGATGCGCTCTGAATTAAAGGGGGTAGTTCACGTCTTTAGAGGTAGATCGATTTATTACCAACTTCAGTTTGGACAGAAAGACTTTCAGTCTGACTGGATTGATGAGCTAAAGGCTAGTCGGAGAGGAGCTGCCGTCGTTCAACGACTCCGACCTTTTCTAAGGCTTTATTCAAACGCTGCTTTTTAAGTAAACACATTACCGACAGTTTCTCATACTATTCTTATTCTGGTAGAAATATGAAGGTAGTCATGCAGGAAACCACCCAAGCTGTATGGGACGTGCTACAGCTAGCTGCTGCTGCTAATGGTGCTCACAAGCCAACGGGATTCTTGGTGAATGTGTAAGTGGAGTTGTTTTAACTGCTGGTGTTCACTCAGCCGTTGACGAACGGATCGACAGACAAAGCACGAGAACAGGTCGTCTGACTGGACCCTAAAATCTCAACAATCCACTTCGGTGTGGTTCTGCTCAGACCAAGTAAAGACGCCCCCCCGGTAATAGATCTGAACTATCCCTTTAAGTTGTACATTCCACCTGTGTTGTATGGAAAAGAGACTTAAAGGAGCGTTTACTCTGGAATAACTTCATGTCAGATGATCTGCCTGACTGGTGTAGGACCAGCAGAACCTCATCAGAACTGCACTTCCTCTATCTTTCAACTCCAGTGTCTTCTGGTGCTGTCGGACCACTTCTTCAGGCTGAGCGACAGAAAAACAGTCTGTAAGTCCGTCCTAAGTTTATAAATGACTGGTTGTACTCTGCCCGTTGGTCAACGGTTCCTCAACACTTAACGAGGCAGTTTGTTTCTTCTCTGACTGCCGTCCATCCGTGAACTTCATCCTCTCTCCTCCCGGGACAATAAAAGAGCTTTCACAATAAGAGCGTGCAGCTTTCAATGATGATTCTCATTTATTGATTATAGTCAATAAAATATTGAACTGTTGTCCATGTTTTCTCTGTTCTTTTACAAGTTCATTAGTTGATTGGAAGTAAATTCTGGTTTTTATATATTTACTTCAACTATTTTCTCTTTTTATTGTGTCAGTTTAGATTATATTCTTTTTATTAATTTAGATTATTTTCTGGTTTTATTATGTTAATTTAGATTATATTCTGTTTTTAGTATGATAACAGATTATATTCTGTTTTTATAATGTTAACTTAGATTATATTCTGTTTTTATTTTAATTTATATTATATTATGTTCTTATGTTTTAGATTATATTCAGTTTTTAATTGTCAACTTAGATTATATTCTGTTTTTATTATGGTAATTTAGTTTCTGTTTTTATTGTCAACGCAGATTATATTCTGTTTTAATAAAGATAACTTAGAT